TTTATCTATCGTTCTACTGCGTTCTCCCACCTAAATCTCACCAACCGCCAGTTCCAGACTCCGTGGCTGAAACTTCGCTCCCCTTCTTTCAGTCACTACTTCCATACTGTATACCCTTCCCCAAATAGTAGTGACTCTTCACTTTTTGATATTTTATCGACAAACATTGATATCATTGTTGAGGCAGACCCCAACGCTCAGTTCACAATTTTGGTTGATTTTACTGTCTATAACAGTGATTGGCTGTTTCAATCTTCAGAGACATTGCGCCTTGGACGTGAAGCAGAATCATTTGCCCTATTAAAGAACTTATTTATTCATCATTTCCCTACAACCGGCAAGCCTCTATCTCCAGAATGGTTTAACCACACCTGTTGTCGCGCCGTTCGTAAAAAAATCAGCGTTCCACCATTGGCGTCCTTCTCCCAGTTCTCGTCGATGGCTCTTGTTAGCGTGAAACAGCTGCACAACCATCATAAAGTAGGCTAAGGAGCATTTTATTGAGCGCAAAATAACACAGTTGGCGACCGCTTCTTCTGAATGCCGGACGTTCTGGTCCTTTGCTGAGGCGGTCCCCCGTAACTTCTGTTTCACTAACTTCCTTTCATCTAGTGACTTAGTGTCCAACCCTGCTCGAATCGTCCATCCAACCCTCTACATACCCTGCGGTGAACGATCTTTTCACGCCACTCTTTTCCACCAGAAAGATACCTTAGATCCTCTTACCACTGAAGCCATCTGCACCCGATGGGATTCCTCCTATTGCCATCCAAATGTGCGCTCCAGAACTGGCTCCCCTCTTATACCGCTTATTATGTCTACCTCTCAATTCCGAGATATTCCCAAATCCATGGAAAAGTTCAGAAATATTTCCCATCCTTAAACGCGGCGACCACTCTGACCAAAACCAGTACCGCCCTATCTCTCTCTCACACCAGTCATTCCGAAAGTTATGGAATCAGTCGTTATTGATCAACTCTGCCGCCACCTGGATCAGAACAAGGGGCTTAGCGACCGGCAGTACGGTTTCCAAGCCCATCGATCTACCGCTGTCTTCTGGGGCTCATTTCACATACATGATCAGCGGCCCTCGACAACCACGGAGAACCCCATGTGGTGTCGTTGGATATATCGAAAGCTTTCAATCGTGTCTGACACGCGGGTTTACTGGCTAAACTACCTAAGTTTGCCTTGCCTTCGGAACTTGTCTCCTGGACAGCAATTTATCTCGAGGACCGCAACATCTTTCAATTAGATGGGACCATGTCTCGTTCCGATTCTATGAATGCTGGTGTGCCCCAAGGTTCTACACTTCCCCTTTCCCTTTTCTGATGTTTATTGATGACCTTATTTCTTCAACTTCAAATCCTATTAAAACCTTTGTGGATGACGCTATCCTACTCTTCTTTGTCTTATTCCTCTTCATTCATCAATAACCCTATCGTTAGTGACGACCTTTCCTCCTTCAGTTTCTCCCTAAATTCTGGCTTGAGCCTTATTTCTGCTTGGGGCTGTCGCAACCGTGTTCTAAAACTTCCCTGATGCCAATTTCTCCTAAACATGCATCTTTTTATCTTTCATAAAATTTTAACTCCAACATTCCCCATTCCACAGATTCATACCACCTATTAGGACTTTCCTTATCTTCCTCTCTTTCATGGTCACCCTATATTTCTCAGCTTATCTCCCTCGCTGGGCGCAAAATTGGCTTCCTCTTCCGTGCCGGACGTTCCTTCAGCCCCATTCACATCCTCTCGCTTTACAAAGCTCAGATTCGTCTCATACGTGAATACTACAGTCATATGTGGGGTAAACCTTCGTCCACCTTTCTCTCTTGATCGGGTTCAACATAAGGCCATTCGTCACATCGTCGGCCCATTTCTAGCTTGTAACTTGCAGTTTCTAGCTCGCCGTCGGACAGTCGCTTCTTTATCTGTATCCCATCGATACTACTTTAGATTTTACTCTAGTGAACTTTCCGCTTTTGTCTCCCGTCTGATTGTTCTTCCTCTTAGATCCCGCACACAAGTGGCCAGTCACCCATTCCAAGTGTTTATCCCCATTCCAACTTCCAATCATCTTTTTCCCAAGAACAACACAACTGTGGAGCACTCTCTTTCTCTCGGTCTTCCCTCCTACTCTTAACATCCTTGCCTTTAAGCGCAGAATCAACAAACTGGTTCTAGCTTAAATACTCCCTTTTACCTTCCCACGTACAGTATATCTTTGGATCATCGGGTTCACCCCTTTTACTGTATTCACTTTCGTATAGTGAAATAAACCGTAGCCCCACTTGGTCTGATCACGTCAGAAGTGTTTTTCTGATAGTCAGGAGGCTTACATGTTATGTTACGTCTTAAATCACTTTCTATCCCATAAGGCATTTTGTGTTTGCTTACGTTTTACGCTATTGGCTTTATGGGTCCTTTGTTATTTTTCCCGGTCTTTTTAACAAGGACCACAAACCCATTCCCCGATCCCTCTTGTTTCTGTCGGCTTGTGGTCTTCTACCACGGGAACATCTGGTATAACATGTAGTGTCACGCACACCTCAGGTAAAACATTCCCGAGGAAGTTTCTATCTGGTGTTTCCCATCTCATTTATCCAACTCTTAGTCAGTGCCTACTTTTATTCATCCACTCGCTCCATTGGTAAACTTATAAAGGTGCACACTAAAGCTTACAGACCCTTGATTGTCCCATATATCGCCAGATTCATCTCAAACCATGAACTCATTGCAGAAAATCTACGCAAAATACTAATATAAACCAATGATAAACACCGTTGTATGCCATTGGTTTTGTGGTGTTGCTTTCCGTTTCGCTTTTTTATTACTGTATTTCAAAAGAAAAGACCATATCGCAATACTGCACGATTTATGTTCAGGACGATTTCGCTGCATTTCAACATGGTACACATTGCAGAAAACAGTGTTTATTTAGAGCTTTAGCTTGGCAACAGAAAAATTAAATACATTAAAACAGACATTGTAGTTATGTGGTTGCTGAATATCCACCCCTCGCATTGTATGAAACGATTCCTCGATCTGATTGTCGGCTAGCACAGGTCTGTTGCTCAAGACTAACTGGAACCAAAAAGAATATCTTTGTTTCTAAATATGACTTCTTTCAAACCGGAATTTGTTTCCTCGTTCTCTCTGTATCAAAAGGTTCATCCACTTCTCGCATCAAACTTGGTGATTATCACTATTACGGTTGGGGTACCGAGGTGAACTACGTCAAAGCCATTCAGCACTACCGAATCGCCTCGGAATTGCATCGCAACTCACAGGCCATGTTCAATTTGGCCTATATGCATGAACAGGGGTTGGGACTGAAACCGGTAAGTTGTACGGAATTCGAATCCAACTATTCCCATGAGATCGCTGTTAATCTTAGCTCGATCTCGGTTTTCTAGTAGAAACTGGATTTCCCCTAAACCTGTCTTACGTTAAGCGTATTGTATGTATCATTGTGTGCTTCTTTTTGCAGATCACAGTTGTGATTTCATTGATTAACTCTTAGACTTGCAAGTAGTTTGTTTCGTTAGGTTACTTAAGGTTAGCTAACGAGATTCACTTTGCCTGACGTTTCGTTGTTCCCAGTATAAAGACTAACTAAACTTGCGTCCGTTTTATCCAAACATATGGTGGCCGGTTAGTCAAATGCACAGCTCGGCGAACATCGCTCACCGTGGCAATCTATCGAGCGACCTGCGTAAGACATGCCCCAAACAACGTAATCTATGGAGGTCGATCACTTGTCCCAATGGGCGACCGCGGTTACCCAAAACTCTACGCCTAACTTCAGCATCGCCCGTTCGGCTACCCCACCAGATTCGTGCAATGCTGCGTAGACAGCGGTGTTCAAACACCGA